CGCCGGCAGAAGAAGCTGCCGCAGCTCTTCGAGAGGGCCTCTTCCAAGTGGTGGAATCCCAAGTTTGACTCCAACAACCTGGAGGAGGCTTGCATGGAGAGATGCTTCCCGCAGACCCAGCGCAGGTTTCGCTATGCCCTCTTCTACATTGGCGTGGCCTGCCTTCTCTGGGGCATCTACTTTGGCATACACATGAGAGAGAAACAGATTGTGTTCATGGTGCCAGCTCTGTGCTTCCTCTTGGTATGTGTAGCGTTTTTTGTGTTCACTTTCACTAAGACTTACGCCCGGCATTACGTATGGACTTCGCTGATACTCACCCTCCTGGTTTTTGCTTTGACTCTCGCTCCGCAGTTCCAGGCTCTGAAGCCTATCTCAGGAAGCGGTGACATGTCCAATCAGACTCACCCGGCAGATCCCACAGACACTTGTCTTTCTCAAGTAGGCAGTTTTTCTATGTGTATTGAAGTGCTCTTGTTGCTTTACACGGTGATGCACTTACCCTTGTATTTAAGCTTGTTTCTGGGACTGTCGTACTCGGTCCTCTTCGAGACCTTTGGTTACCGCTTCCGCGATGAGAACTGTTTTACACCTCTCGGAGCCGGTGTAGTTTACTGGGAGCTGTTGAGCAAAGCCTTCCTGCACATATGCATCCATGCCATCGGTATTCATTTATTTATCATGTCCGAGGTCAGATCAAGAAGCACATTCCTGAAAGTGGGGCAATCCATCATGCATGGAAAAGACTTAGAAGTGGAAAAAGCCCTGAAAGAGCGGATGATTCATTCTGTTATGCCAAGAATAATAGCCGATGACTTAATGAAGCAGGGGGACGACGAAAGTGAAAACTCCATCAAACGTCATTCCACTTCAAGCCCCAAAAACAGGAAGAAGAAGCCCTCCATACAGAAAACCCCCATAATATTCCGTCCTTTTAAAATGCAACAGATAGAGCAAGTGAGCATTTTGTTCGCAGATATTGTTGGCTTCACGAAAATGAGTGCCAATAAATCTGCCCATGCTCTGGTGGGACTCCTGAACGACCTTTTTGGACGTTTCGATCGTCTGTGTGAGGACACTAAATGCGAGAAAATAAGCACTTTGGGAGACTGTTACTACTGCGTAGCTGGCTGCCCAGAGCCCCGGGCAGATCACGCTTACTGCTGCATCGAGATGGGCTTAGGTATGATTAAAGCCATTGAGCAGTTTTGCCAAGAGAAAAAAGAAATGGTGAACATGAGAGTCGGTGTTCATACCGGGACGGTCCTGTGTGGCATTTTGGGAATGAGGAGATTCAAGTTTGACGTGTGGTCCAACGATGTCAATTTGGCCAATCTGATGGAGCAGCTGGGGGTAGCTGGCAAAGTCCATATTTCAGAAGCTACTGCGAAATATTTGGATGATCGTTATGAAATGGAGGATGGAAAGGTGATCGAGCGAGTCGGTCAGAGCGTGGTAGCTGACCAGTTAAAAGGTACGTGCTTTTATTTTGTGTTCAATCTTTTTTTTTTTTCCCCCTCCCTTTTATGAGGGAATACATTTTCCCTAGTGCATGTTTTGTGCTTACTGACGTGCAAATTGAATGCGTTTTACATTTAACTCAGCGTGGTGGTGATCACAAACACCATGGGAATTGCAGAATAAAAGATGCTGCGGAGATAAGCGTGGAATATCTTCTGGGCTACTCCAAATGTACTTAGACTTCATAACTCCTTAGCGCTCCTTGTGAGAGCATCACCTTGTAGGGAGGAGAAGGTTAATGGGTTTGCTGTCTGCGAGAGGTTTTTGTTTTACTGTTGTGTGTCATCCTTTAATTCAGTAAGTAAACTTGGTAATTTACTTCATGTGCCATACATAGAGCATATGTGTTTTGCAAAATTATGTATATCTGTGAAAAGTTTTTTTTGGCATTGGGAGAGTTGGGACTGCGAAGGCATTTGGGAAAAATGACAGCTGGATTCACAGAAAGAAATGAGCACTGTAGATTTGGCAGTTTGATACAGCGAGTTGTTACAGTTCGGAGTTAGGCTGGAAAAAGTTACTCAGGTGGTTCAGTGAGCTGGCAGATGCTCTCGTTTCTGCAGCTCTAAGGATTTGGGGATGAAACTGCAAATTTGCCTTTCGGAAAAGAAAATGAGGGATCCTTTGGTTCCCCTTATGGCTTGGCTAAGAGTCCAATTTTCATTTTTCTACAGAGTATTCATTTTGAGATGAAACCCTTGACCACTTTCTAGCAGCACTTAGAAGTGCGTGCAGGAGGATTGTACATGCTGCAGGTTTACTTGTCTGTCCCTTCAGAGAAAGCTTTGCCTGAGTGCCGTGCCTTTGTCTCACAGAGGTACAGTTATCTGCAGTGCTTGTAGCCCAAGGTGGGGAGCAGACAAATCCAAATGTGAGTGGAATATGTTGCAAACCCTTTTATACTATGTGAATTTATTTGTTCTCTTTATAAATGTACTCATTTTTAAGAAGTAAGAATGGAAAACAGAGCGGAAGAAACCGAAGGAGTCGTAGGACAGCGTTGTGATGAAGGAAGGAGATATTTGTTGCAACAAATAGGAAACGAGGCCAGGATGGTTGTAGAAAGGTCAGTGAGTAAGGACAGGGGGGAGAGTATTGCAAAACAGTGGTGGAAGCGGTAACGGCAGGCCGCTCGCCTGTGGCAGGTGCTTATTTTGATGTGACACAAATACTTATTTTTGGTGAGCTGGCTGTCCGCATGCATATGGCAACAGAGCTGAAATGAGAGGCTTACGGGGAGGAAAAATATCGACAGTGACATTGGTGGCTGGAAGCAATCGAACTGAAGCAGATGTGTGTCCCTGGGCTTTGGCTTTCTGTTTAGCTTCTAAAAATACAAATTCAGTTAATTTCCTTGAAAACTGTTGACATTGATGTATTTCAGTGGAAGGGTGCTTTCAAGAAAAAAGGGTCAGACATCATCTCTCCGTTACTCTAAGCTGAATCTTGCTGTTCTGGTGAAAATAAATTTAATAGGCTGTAGGAAACACCCCTGCGATATTTAAGTCCCTAATTTCCCTCTTCTATCTGCCTTTACAGTCAGATGCGGTGTGAAGGCCGTGTTGTAGCAACAAATGAAATTAAGTATTTTTGCTAAATTTATAACTGTACTTGATATCACTAATCACAAAGTGACATGAACTTACTTGTGGAGACTGATGGTACAGCTCTTAAATATTTTTATTTATTTGTTTATATTTTCTAGGCGATCACAAGAGCACTGTGTACAGCAATTACACCCCATGCCAGGAGTGTTTTTTTCAGTCTTTCTTAGACTTCTGTTCCGTCCTTGGTTACATTTATTGCGAGAGGGCATACGTAGGCTGCTGTGTCTTGTCAGTGGTTCGGCTTTTGCAGCTTTGAATGCCTTTCACAGGTCCTGCTGTAGCCAGGGCACTACAGGTGAATGAACGGAAATGCATTCTAGATAACATGAAGTGTGCTATGTACACTGACATTTTAATGCTCTCTTCTTATCCCGAAACCTAGCTATGAAAGCAACTGGAGCATGTGGTAAGAATTACTTTAACGAGGAATGTGGGTTGGGTTTTTTTCCCCCTTTCCCTTCTGTATTTTATTGTGGAACTGTAATTAGCTTCCATTTCTTATCAACGTCTTCTGTAGTTACAGAATACAGAGCCAGTGTGTACTTTTAAACCAGGCAGACCTCTGCCATGACCACCTTTATCTGCAGGTCTGCGGCACGCGTAGTTCCCTTTTCCTCCTGTGCCCAGACCCCCAGGGGCACATGGTGGGTGCTACGGAGCTGCCCGTTATTTCCTGTCTCCTCAGTACTTTGTTCTGCAGTCAGATTACTTGGCTGACAGGTAATTGGCATCAGGGAATTAAAAAAAAAAAAAAAAAGGCAATGATAAAGCAATCTAACAGCAGTGCTACAGGCGGGCGTCTTGAGTCTGCTGCAGGGGAGGGTTTTGTTAAGGAGCAGCGCTGAGATTTAATAAAGTAAACTGAGATTTCACCTCTTAATTAATTGTCCTCTGCCAAGCATCTGCTCAGTTTTGTGAACGGAGGTGCTGTTAGGAAGCTTTGCTTTACTGTTTTCCCTGAGAATTCATTGATAGTAGTGATAGAGAAGAGGAAGTTTGTTGTAGTTGTTTAATTATGTTCTACATGGTACTCTTTTCAAGTATGAAAGTGCTGCAGAGATAACGCACATAAGCTTTGTTTCCCTACCGATACTTCACTTCTCATCTTCCTTCCAACCTTTGGTATCTTAATGATATCCTATTTTTTATGTTGTATGTCTAGTATATTATCTCTTAATTGTCTGAGCTGCTGCATTAGTTGCAGCTATCTTTCTGAGACTAAGTCTAACGTGATCAAGTAAACTCCTTGTAGAATGAAATAGGAGGTACTGAGAACTCGTTGTCCACGTTGTCCATGTTTCAGGACTTCCACCTAAGGCTGGTTCTGGCCTGGGTCTTTGAACAAAAGTACCTCCTTGGTTGGAGCACATCCAGCGTGCTCCTGGAGCGAGCCTCTCGGTGCGGTTCGCCCTGAAGGAATCCAGGTACAACTCAACAGTGTGCACCAAAGCAGGGTACGTAGGAGTGGTCTGTGCAAACTGCTTCAAAACCGTGCTCCCCATTCCGTTTGAAATACTTATCTAGATGTACCCTGAGCTGTCCCTGTGCTGCTCTCCTCGATTTTTTTTTGGAATAGATGAGGCAAAACTAAATTTCTCTCTCTGTGCTGTTTTGTGGCTCATTGAAATCTGAGGCTGCAAATATCTTTTCTTCCTCCTTTGTTTCCTTGGCTCCTTATTGCAAGAAGTGGGGCCCTAGTATGTTCCCTCCTGTTTCTGACTTCTGAATTAAGTAGATGGTGTCTAAAACAAACCAACAGAGTGAGCGAGCCGTGGATGACCTTACAATATTTTTGCCTGTTTCTGACTGCTGTTTGTTTTAAGATTGCTTAGGCCATCTGTTTTCACAGCACCTGATCCCCTTGGACATGAGGGGAGCGCAGGAGAGCAATGTTGCGGTGATTTTTTGAGGTTATTAGTTCAATTATATCTTCCGTAATAATTTTGCCATAGGATTTGAGACAATTCACTTTTTCTGGTTTTTTCCTAGCAAATAAATTTATTGAAGACTATGAGATACTGAGAGTCACATAATACATGTTAATGTGTCCCTTCTGAACTCTGGAGTCAGAGATCTCTTCTCGGATATAAAAAGTTCTGCTTATGGAAATATTTTTGTTTTGCTCTGTTTTTCTTGGTTGTTTGCATTTCTCTTTCTTGTTACTTAGGAGGTCACAATATTGCTATTTGCCAGCCAGCAACTCTTCCAGAAATACCAGGGTCACCGACATTTTTTTTTTTTTTTTTTGAATGCTCAAAATACATAAGCGTGTTGAGGCAAGAATGCTTTCTCTGTGTTTATAGCGCATAGCACAGTGGAACCATGATTTCATTTGGGGCATTTGTATCTATGCTGATACTCTTAATAAGAGTTACTGTTATTGAAGTTCCTGTTAAAATAATTCCTGAACTTTCTGCTGCAAGATACCTCCTTGTTTGATTTGCCTCAAGGAATCGCTTTATCGCTAAGTTTCTGTTAGAAGCCCTTGAAGATACAGACACACTTTTCTCTCTGATTTTTTTTTTTTTTTTGTCGTTTGCTTCATCATGGAAGAAACGTAAGTGGATCTTGGGCACTTTGTCACCTGGCTAACCAAACGAGTCGTAGGTGGCTTCAGAGTGAAGGTCAGCTTTCGCACCGCTTACTGGGTGAAAATCCACTGGTTCACCTGGGGAACTGGTGGCCATTCCTGATACATCAAAGATATCAAAGAAATGCAGCTTACTGTATTGTCTTTCACTGTTCTCTGCATTTCTTCTAATATCTGCTTTACTTTTAAACATTTTTTTAATAAAGCAAATCAGTTATAGAAGTCACCGTTTTGCTCGATATTGAAACCTTTTAATGTCATTTAAGGTTATTATTTCTCCATAAATAGCCTAGCTCTTTACATGGTGGCAACCTGCGACTGACGGGATGCTTTTCCCTTGGCAGACCACGGGATACAGCTCTGCCTGGTGACTTGATACTCTGCTGCTTTTTCAGGTTTGGGTTACAGGGAACACAGAGTGGATTTTCCTGAATGACAAAAGTCTTGGATAAGGTTATGAAGAGATAAGTCATTGAATTTTTCTTCACTTCCTCCCCTCTGTGACCGATCACGGGGAGACCACGATTACACCCTGACGGCAGTGAAGTCTTCCCTGCCTGCCCCGTCTTTCTGTCTTTTACTAGACAGAGAACCCGTAGCCATCGTGTTTCTGGAAGTTCATAGGTAGATGAAAGATAAGATGAAAGTTTTCCTTAGCTTTTTGAGCCCAGCCTGCTGGCCGTCGTGTAAATCTAGATGGCTTGTGCTTGTGCCAGCAGGACAGCTCTGCAGAGAGCTCTGCACAGATTCATCTTT